GATTAGGCAACTCCGAGGAGTGTGTGTGTGAGAAAATCGCCACCTTTACACTGCGCGACCCCCCCCACGATCACCTCGGAGCATCGCGTCGCTTTGACACCGCGCGAATGTGACATCCACGTGCCGCAAACGACTCGCCTCGCCTCCCCCCTACGCCCACGATCACCTCGGAGCGTCTACCCGCGACGGACGTCGGGGAGTCGTGGGGGGGGTAAGAGCGTAGGTAAACGCTAACAGAGTGTCGTTCGTCCTTTGGTGTGGTCTTTCGGTCGAGTTGTGACAGTCGAGGAGCGTCGGTCGCTCGGTCACCCGCTCGACTGGTTAGTCTCGAGTGTCCCTCCCCCCCCGTCCTCGGAAGTTGTTCGCAATCCTGTCTCTAACCTGTAAGTCAACTTATGTGTATGATATGTCTCTACGACAATACTCTTTGGCTACACTCAAACCTTTTAACGCGTATATATTTAGAATAAAGATCGTCTGGAAGTTGTTACCCTTAATACTAGTCATCTTGTTCCGGCCACAGTACCTTGGAAACTCCAACTGTTCGCCGAGATTTTTCTTATTTACAGAGAAAAACCTGTTTTCTTTTAGGTTTAATTTCCTTAAATCAATACTGAGAGCGTAACGCAATCAGCGCTTAGCGATGTTATTACTACAGTATTACTAGTCCCTATGAAGTCCTGGTCCATTTTCGTCGAGTACGTCACAAGACGAGGTGGTGTCCACACTCGACGAGAGCATCGATGTGTCCCAGCGAGCACCATGGCCGGACCGTTAGCTCGACTACAACACAAACAAGGCAGAAAGAGCAAGATTTGGCTAGAAACAACTACGAGGAGCCGTATTCCTCATCGGAACGCCCCGCCTTTCACAGAAGTCTGAGCGACAGACGCAGTCGTCGTGCACCAATGGGTCCATTTGGGTATGGGCACGTCACCATACCCAGGAAGAAAACAATGGAAAAAGATAAATCTCCAACGAGGCGTTCTGGGGCAGCATAGACAGGTATTTTCTGTGTTAGAGTTTTACTCGCTACAGGGTGTACTTTGAGGGTTTTTGACTCTGCAGACCGTTTACATGCATAAAAACCTTCATAACACACAAGGGGACGGGTAATAACCAGAAAAGCAAGACATGGGACCTTTAATTCCCAAATGTCCCAATGCATAATAAGTAAGAATGAAGAATAACATTGAAGGACTGAGCATAAGAAAAAAGTGCAATCTACCTCACCTCAATACTGCCCATGTGGACTTTTGCAGTTAGTAATCTGATCCATAAAGCTCAAAGACGCACACAGACTCCACAAGGAGCCCCATGGGAACATAAATACATGTGAAGACTTCTGCTGGTGGCCATATTTGGCTCGTTTCAAACTGGAGGGCAGCTAGCCAAAGTTTGTTTGCACTGACAAGTGCACAGATGGCTATGTATCTTTAAAACATGACATTCACACTTTCTAAATATTGAGGGAGATGGATGTGGTGAGCAAGGGAATATGGTTTGCAATTGTTTCACTTTAATACTGACGTAACTACTTGCAATAACCATCACCAAATAATCTACAGTAACTCATAACACTTTACACCAGCCATTGTTAAGAAATGGTGAACTAATCATTATTTAATATGACTATTAACCATCATTTGGAACTAAGCGTTAACCAAAGTGATTGAATCATTATTGAAATAATCATACTTATTTAATTGTAAATATATATACAATATTCTTCATTATAACAGTCAATTATCGGTGGTTAAATTCATTTTTTGCCACTATGAACAATTTGTTGGTAATGACCTGACCTCATATGCAGGTAACCCTGTTTCTTTTTCGAATATTTGCAAACCAAAATTAGTATAACTGTAATTTACAGTTGCAGCCGAGGCTCACAATCCATCATACATGGTTATAAATGGTGAAGCCTCTTTGTAATGTTTCTACTCATGTGGCCATGGCCATTAAACATAAATGTACATAAACAAATTGTTCCATATTATATATACAATACAATGCTTTTTAAGAAGGAACAAGGAAATCATCGTATTAAACCTTTTGGTAACTTAAGAAATATTAAGTAGTGATTATTTCACCAAGGGGTCGTAGACATCCTGAAGAACCATGACAGTATTATTATTTGTAATGCACTTTAAATATCAGTTGTAAAGCGCTTTGACAAAGGTATGCACGCTATTACGGAGTCTGCAACATGTCAAGAACCAGCCGGACGGAGGAGCCCTCTGATTGGCTGTTTGTCTTCATGAAAAGCTGCAGCAGTGAAAGCCAACGCTCTGTGAGTCGGACCCCGTCTGACTCGAGTGGATTAGAAGGAAAACCCTGACTGTGACTCAGCTGGGACTTAATCCACCCCGATGGGACTAACACGCAGAACGACAGACTGAGGGACCCAGCGTCAGCCAAGAAGCATCAAAGGTAAACTGTTTTCATATCTCACCAACACATCTCCTACACTGGCACTTTGCCAAACAAGCACTTAAAGAAATACATCATGGAGTGAGAGTGTGTGGACACTGTTCCGATGTTTTAATGACTCGTAACATACAGAACATAATGTTATCTCTCAGTTTACTGGACCAAGAAACATCTGTAAAACATCTGTTAGCTAACAGCTTGTTGACTGCTTGGTTGTTTATACTTTGTGAAAAAGTTTAGGTTCAGAGATGTCCAAATAAAAACAGCCTGATTCACAGTTATATCAAACAGCATATTTACATTATGAGAGGAAACCAACCATGGAAGACTTTAAGAAGGAACCTCAAAGGTAGAGCTGCAGCAGTTACTCAATCAACAAGATAGTAATTGCAAACAATGTTGATGGTTGCTTCATCATTTAGGTACATTTTTTATGAGAAAGTTGCAGTAAATGCTCTTTGTCAAATATAGAGATTTGTTTTTATCATATTAACCTCGTTTTCTGGGATTTTTGAAAGGAAAAAATGTGATATCTTAAGACATCATCTTGGACATTGATCATTTTTAACAGTTTATAAACATTATATAGACCCCTTGAATAATCAGCAATGCAATTCATGGTTAGTTGCAGCCTAAATCCAAGAAATCAAGGATTTGAACTACATCCTTGAACCTCTCAGACTCTCGTTTTCATTCCAGACTTTTCTTTTGCAGCTCTTTCTCGACAAATTGAAGATGATATATTAATCTTCTACTTGTATCAGTATCATTTAGTATCACACTGTTTTATATTCCTCATCAGTTTCCTCTTGCTGCTCGTGTCAGAGGGCAGCATTAATGAAACGCCCGTCCGACCTTATTGCTGAATGAGAGAGAGACAGAATGAGTTAGAGATCAGTGTGAAACACGCTCAGCTCCCAGTTATCATCTCAACCCTCAGGGTCACACTGCTTCTGTATTTTGTTACTGTATGTGAAAAAAAGACGTGCAAAAGAATATCGATTACATATAGACACAGAAGGATTCATACACAACCATCGATGATCCTGAGGCTCACTTGCATTACCCCAAGTCTGATTGAATCTAGCAGCCCTGTGATGTCAGTGTGAGGCGTTGTACGTGCTGTTCAATATGCCAAGCCTTCCAGTCAGCAGCTCTGATCAAAGACATGAAAGAAGAAGGGTGAATCTGCACACTTTAAAGCTTTAATTAAAGCCCTTTGACCTCATTTTTAGAGACAAAATGAACACAACAGCCGTGGTGTCATCATGTGTAAAAGTGTTCATTGCCTTCTCCTGCAAGAACGCTTAAAATCCATGTTGCATATATCTAAATACTTTGAGCTATGTTTTAAATGCCCGGGCCACATATCCTGCTGTAATTAGTTTTTAAAATACCTTTTTAAAATAGACACATTTCTGACACTTACTGTATATGTTTTCCATATTTCTCCTTCTCTGTGTGCACAGGTCAGTTTGAGGTTCTCTTAATTTCATTCCCGGGACCCCTCCACCAGCGTCAGATGACCCGCTGCAACAACGTCCTTTGAAATGAGCAGCAGAATGAAATGGAGCATCATTAGTGACTGCAGGAGAGGAGAATAGCTGGATAAGGGCTACAGCACGACTCTCTCTGCACCTACATCTCTTCTTCCCCACAACTGGAATAAATATGGTCGGTTGCAGTGTGTTACCGGTGACAGGGGCTCTTTGAGTGCCGAGAGCATCCTCGCCTGTCTGATGCAAATACCAAACTCGTCGTATAATGACCTTTTTTCTCACACTTGCTGCATGAATTATGTTTTAACACTGCTGATTTTTCATGAAACAACAAAGGCTCAATGATTTAATGAAAAGTGCCAAGGCCTTTTTCTATTGCAGAATCTGAAAATATTTCAAAAAGAAGCGTATTTATTTTGTTATTTTGTACATTGTGTTTTGGAAGTTATTGTCAATGTTGCTGTTTATTTGGCACATGTGAGACACCCTCCTGACAAATGGGAGGATCACAAGTTTCCTGTGTTGCACAAAATGTGATAAATAGAAGCACGGTAGCCAAATGCATGCAGAGGTTGCACCAGCACCACAGAATTAAATATTTATAAACTACCTACTAATAGGAGGAAGATACAGTACATCAATACACTTATTCACACTAACCTACTCAAGCTTTTATGTCACTGTAATCGCCACTTTTAATATCTCTATTTGCATGATACCCCATAATTGTGTACACGGTCATTATTTTACCATCACAAAGAAAAACAGGGCAGGATTCCTTCGCATTTCAGTCATAATGAGTTCAAATAAAACTTTGTACTTCAAACCATTCCTTTTCTCATTATTTCTTGTGCATATTTACAGTTTGCCTCACTGCATTTCAGAAAGATAGTTAGATAACACTGTTGTTTGGTAACTGAGAGGAAGAGAAATGTGGGTGAATATAATCTCCTGCAGCACAGCCTGGGGCAGCAAAACAGAAAGGCACAGAGCGTTCTGGAGATGATGGTTCAGAACCACCTGGAAAACAGTGTTGATGACAAACCCAAACACACAGGAGGCCTGCATGTCCTAAGCCCTGTGAAGGCATTACGAGAGAATATATTTAACCCGCAGCGTTTATAAAACTGCCGCCGTCCCCTTTTTTAATCTGAGCCTTCTGAACTGATCTTTCAGAAATGCCAGTCAATATATAACACAGATTTTCCCATCACTCATGTGACCTTTTCTCATGTTCCTGGGTGTGAGGCCAACAGGCAGCTTCAGACAATAACTCAGCTGTTGTAATATATTAACGGCAGCACGCCAACACACCCATAAATAGGGACAGCCTTGTCATGCACACGCAGTCAAACGCAGCCAAAGGGCAATTTGTAAAATAGCCAGGTGCCTGCAGTGCGTACAGCTTGACTTGTGATTAACAAACTGTCATGGTGTGCGCGATATTTACGTAATGCTGCCTTAGTTTTAATCGGGGTCATCATCAGGATCTCTTTTTGCTTCTCAAGTGGCAGAATAGAATAAATTCATTTATTGTTATTAAAATGTGAGGATTCATTAAATACTGGTGATTAGATGAGTTGGGTGCCACGAAGCATAACATTCTAATTTTGCATGAGAACTGAAGTGATGAAAATTGTGAGTGTCTAAATGTACAAAACAGGTACTGATGAAGAAGTGTATTTTCTGAGAAGACCCCACAAGCAGAATCTGACTGCACTACATCAACATCTACTTAATTAAAATATCATTTTGTAATATATATTTAGGTTTATGGCCCCAGAGGTCTCTCACCCTATGTACTAAGTGTTTACCCAAGCGGCCTAAAAAATGATCTATCCTGTTTTTTTAATATGGCAATCATAATGACCTTTCTTCTTGCATCATCAGAACTTGTGATATCCACATCCTCTGTAGTTTCCTGTAGTGGACATCACCAAATATTAGCATGCGTTCCCTCCAAACTTTGACTTCATCCACAATTAATCACTTAAGCATTGTCATTGATAGCCTGTCAGCATGGTGGCAGTCTCAATCTTAGTCTAGTTCTCTACTGAATTACTGAATAATTGTACCTCTTGAGGCTGAAATGTATTTAAAGGAAACAATGAAAACAAATTGCTCTTTGGTTCAAGTGGTTAAAATTTTACCACAACTTGTGATAAGTGTTTAAAGAAATGTTGCTCTGTTTAATGGAACAAATTGTAAAGATTGTATACATCTTGGTGGAGAAGAGGTTTAACAGAATTTGTTTCCTGAATTAATGTTTCTCTTCTCAGGCAGAGATACAGACCTGCTTTGAACGAGCATTACATTTAAGCCACTTCTGATAATAGCTTGGTTAGGATAAGGTGAGAAAAGTATAGAAAAACTGTAAAACAGACATTGACTGAATTGCTGAACATTATACATTTAGATTCTGAACACAATAACTTTGATCATTTATCATTTATCAATTTATAACTGTTTCCATGGTTATCGTTGGGCTTTTTCGTTGTTCAGACACACTGATAGAGATGTATCTGCCTGGGCTTTTTGTAAAACTCTCCATCTCACACAAACAACCTGTCAGATAACCTAATCTAAGATTAAAACATCTATTCCTGGAGTAAATGTACACCTCAGAGAAAAACTATTTCAACAAATCCTTTTTTCCTACTCGTGAATCCAAGCTTTAGAAACATGTCATCCCGGGAGAGACGGATGAAAGGGCTGTCGGTTACAAAGGAGAGTGAAAAATAAGATCTTAGCTTTTAGACAATCAATCGTGTATCAAGGTAACCTTCACTGATCTAAAGTTGAAGGAGTAGCGAGTAGTAGTCATCATATTGTTGAGGATGCTTTTCCCCACTCCTCTTGTTCTTCTCTTTTGGTCACGCTGTCACTTTTCTCTGCTGTTTTTTTGCCTCATTGAACTGTGCTTCTAAATTATCACTAAGACGTAAGCAGCTCTGCTTTTGTGTTTCTTGTGTTAACAATAACAATGGAAAGACGCACCCATACAAGCATGTGTCCAAATATATAATAAACCACAGATGCAAATTTTATATGGAAAAGCAAAGTCAGTGTGACTCATTAAGATTGGCGAAGGACAAACAGCTTTAACATTACTATTGCGCAAATCTTCTGAATACACTCACGGCTTTGTGATGGGACTAAATAACAAATGAAGAGCTGAATTGATCGCTTGATTTCAAACGTTTCTTTTTTTATGTTTTCTTTCCCTCCATCTACCTCTACCCATCAAAAAACACTGTATTTGTTGCCTGAATCTTTATTTCACATATTGGGACGATTTCACAGGCATTAGAGTTTGACAGCCAGGAGGATTTAAGAGGATCTGGAGCCTCAGTAAAGGAAAGTCAAACTAATACTGCTCGGACAAGCATGACACTGTCTTTTAGTCAGTACACTGTGGTCTCACATCCAAAAATGTTTACACTAGTAAGAGAAAACAAATGTAGGGTCCATTTATTCTGTAGATATTGTAAAAACACTGATGGTGTAGCCTCCTTTTATTTCTGTGTGCAGCCATTCTACTTCTACACAGGCTTGTATATAGTTACTTGCTGTTTTGTAATTCTAAATGGATGTCACCATTATGGAAAGACTATTGAACTGACAAAAGGAAGTGTGTCACTCTGCTCCTTTTCTTCCCCAAAACAAACAAATACTGTTGCTGGTGCACGCAAACATGCAGCTCCTCTGCCTCCTCCCAGACCGGTTTGACGCAAGAGAAGCCACGCGCCTCTGCTGTCACACACACACACACGCGCGTGCGCGTGCCCACACACACACACACACACACACACACACACACACACACACACTCCCATATCAATCAGCCCTTTATCTGCTTCCTCAACTCGGCCCGACCGGCTGTCTGTCTGTCTGTCTGTCTGTCACATTGCTTCAAACAACACATACCTGTCAAACTCAGACAGTCTGTCATCAGCAGATATACCAGATAAACCTGCAGAGAACTTTTAAGTATTGTCCTGAAACCCCCCATGTCAAACCGGATTAATTATGGGAGATACATTAGCACTAGCAAATAAAATGTAATGGTTATACTGTGATGTAAGTTTAGCTCAATAAACGAATTCAGGCTTTTGTTGTAGTTGCCTCAACAACAACCTATTTTTTGTTATTCCTTCTGACAGCAGAAAACTAAATCAATACAAAGGCAGCCTTTTCAAAAACAAGAGTATTCAATAAAAAAAATGCCCTGTGGTTTTCTGATCGAGCTAAAGGAGTAGAAGAAGTGACAGGAGGAGGAAATTAGATGTAGCCAGTGCCACTGGTGAGGACACAAACACATGCAGGTGATTACCACTTGGTGACACGTCATACATTCTCTAACACACACACATTGTTTGTGTCTCAGGTTTGTCTGATATGACACCTCACTCTAGATAGATGTTTTGATTGCAGCTTGCTCTAGTTTCATTTGAAACCTTGTGAGCAAAAACACAGAAACTGGCACTGACATGTGATTTTTTGTTCCTCACTTTTGCATTATACAACAAACTAACAGATTTAGACAAACAGACTGCTGCTCAGGTGTTGTTTACCTAGAAGGATGTGTAAAGCAACTGGGAACACACGTACCCTAGAGAGAGGCAGAGACAAAATGTCTTATCTTTGACCTTTGGACTTTTGAAATATTGACAGTGTGTAAACATCTTCCAGCTCTGCACACGCATCCCACTTAGCTTTGATGTTTGAAAGCGGTCGAACAGAAGAGAGCGTTTGTTTAAAACTAAGACTGCGTGTTATGATTGCATGTGTGTTTTAGTAATTACTGTGTTCTCGTGTGTGTGTGTGTGTGTGTGTGTGTGTGTGTGTGTCCAGGGCCATGG